ACAGCCATTAGTAAGAGGTATGAGAGCGAAAGTGGAAGAGACCGATTTTCAAACACGTGGCAGCAGCAATAACACAATGGTTGTGGAGTTACATTTCGTTGAAGCCTGCTACGTCACCAAAAAAGACAACTGCCAGCTCACAGTATGACAATACGTCAGATTGTTCAATACTAATCGAGAGAGTTCGCCGGTAAGCTGTTCAGGCTTCGCGCCCAGCGGCCTCTGTCTTCAATCACAATTTCCATGATGCAGTGAATCAATACCTAGATGGAACAAAATGGAACATGTTTTGAGTCCTAGTCACAACATACACCATCTGCGACAATGTTAGTGATCCAGAGGCTTATTATTACTGTTTCTGTAAAGATAATTAGTGTTCTAGAAAGGCTCTCAGTACCAGTTCAGGCGCCTAATTCTACTCTTGTAGCATGCATTCTCAGTAAACTCCAAACGCCAAGCCTTTGCGTTAAACAATGCTCCATATTCTGTTGTCGAATAACTTCAACCTCTGACGATAGTATATGCTCATGCAGTGATAGTCGTATCATACTTCCTCAATAACCTCGACCTGCGGGCCTTCGATCTTCTTCACCTTACGGCCTTCCCACCATGACATAACGCCAGCCATCATAGCGACACCGCAGCCAAGTCCGATGAAAGTGCCGGTGGCCCATGACTATGACGGCGATTAGTTTACTTAGCACTTGTGGAGCAAGCTCAGACACATTGCGGTAGAGCTTGCCAAATCGTCTGGGAAACACTTACAGGACGGTCGATGCGGTTATACCCCCACATGAAGTAGCACAGCACAGCTTGCAGCAGCGTATTGAGCACCATCATACAGATCGTAAAACCAAGCTTCCAAAGTGCTGTTGGTGGTGCTGTCTGATTTGTAAACGTCGGCGTGCGGCCCTTCTCGTCCTCGAAAGTCCACGCTGGTGGTCGAAACCAGCCTTTGTTTTGCGCAGCTAGCCTCCGCATGGCTTCGCGATCCTTGAAATTCGTCGCGCGGATGAACCAATACAAGTCCCGAAAACGCCATGGCGCAAGACCGAAACCCGTTACGCAGAAGAGGGCGTTGAGGATCTGACTGTCGATCTCTAACCACTTCTTGCGGGGTGAGTTATTGTCGTCGGCGGAAGGGTAGTTCATTGCGGGCGCGGCGTTGATGAGGAGGAAGAAGAGCATAGCCTGTGAGTTGTGAGTGAGTTGCGATGAGATTGGGTTGTGTGAGTGAAACGTACTCCCCAAGCCTGTGAGTGAGTTAGCTGGCTGCATTGGTGAGAAGTTGAGGTGAGGACGTACCACGATGTTTAGGCAGTAGATTGTAATGATGAACCCCGATGGTGTCAGGAAAAACTTCCAAAAAGCCTTCAAGCCATTGACGACGGTCGTTTGCCATGGGGCCTTCTCCTTGGCCATGTGCTTCTCATACAGACTTTGTCGTCTTTGAAACTGCTGCCTTGGGTAGGGGCTGCCGTCAGCTTGGTCATCCCCCATGAGAACCCTCGCCTCATCGGCCTCTCCCTCATGTCTCTCATCTGGCTTGTCACCATCCTTGAAAACACTTTTGAATGCAGGCTGTCCCTCGGTGGCGATAGACCCGGTCCTTGTTGATGACCTCACAAGAGCAAGCTCGCCGTCGCGCTCCTGTCTCGCAAAACGGGCTGAATGGCCCTGGGCATTGAAGGCGATGTTGTCACCGCCAGAGTTTTCGTCGCGCAATTCCGTGAGGTTCGGTGCCTGGGCGATGGCAGTTCCAGCGGCCTGCCACATTCCGAGCTGGGGGTTGGCATTCATGATGGAAAGCGAGGCGCCCCGGACGCGGCCGACGATGCCGTCGTTGGCGGCGGGTGGATCGGCCATTGCGGGCGACGTCGGATGGAGGCTGTGGTGAGGTGGTGTGTATCAAAGCAATGCGTCGGCGATTGTCAATGCCGTGTCACTCCCACCCAAGATGAAAACTGCGATGAACGATGCTCAATCGATGCTCGGCGTCGCGTAGGTTGATGAAGTGAAGTCGGCGAGGACGGGAAAGGAGATTCTTTTGATGCGGCCGTCGTGGAAGTGGGAAAACTTTAATTAGGTGCCTGACGAGGTGACGGAAGCGGAAGGGGTGATGGCTGTGAGACCCTGCCTTTTGATGGTTTAGCGCCTTGGCGATCCCTGCCGTCACCAGATACGCGGACAAGTACGACGGCCTTTACGCGGGAAGGTGCGAGTCTTCCGACCCCGATGGACCACCCGAGACTGCCCTGTTTTGCGTCCCGAGGCTATTCGAAAGAGCCTCTGGCATTGACATCACCTGCAGTGACTTGCATGCAATTTTTCGGGATCTCTGGATGTGTCTGAAAAAATCTGGGAAGAACAGTTTCTTCGGGCTTTTGCGAGCGATACGGATGCGGATGCGGAGGCTATCCAGGGTCCGTACGGCAATACGCTACTCGAGTCATCCCTCAGCCCTTTTAATGGAACCAATCTCACTGTCACTGACACGCTTCTCGGCGAAAGCGAGGGGACCCCACACTAACCCATACGAAGCCTTCGTAAATACCAATTATTCGGGAAAATATCTCTAGGCCAGCGTAGATCATAACAAACGAAATTTCCAACCTCAAAAAACAACCTTAAATTTAAGACTTTTTCCGCGGAAAGAACTGCGGGCAGGAATTTCCACAGCCACGGCGACCCTGGTTCCATGACGTTCCGGACGGAAATGCTCTTATGCCCGGCAACTCGCGCGTGCAGCATCATGAGATTCAATGAACATCAATTATCAGAAACGAAAAAGCAACATCAAAGCGAATAGAGGAGATACTGATTCTTATGGACGGAAAATGAAAAGGGCTAAGATAATGGGACCCGAAAAAGAAATAACAAAAACTGGATTTTAAGCTGCTTGGCTACAGAGACCTTCGCAGACAGCGTATAAACAACAATATAAGACATTTATACTCTATGAGGCCCAGAAGAAAAAAGTTTTTCAACGCCTACTCAATGCTCATTCAAGTTGCTCTATCAAGCGGCACACCCTCGGGACCACCTAGATCAATAGTGGAAACGACGTGATAGTCCCCAGGAATGTGCCCTTCTAAGCCCTTTCTCATTCCAGCTAAGATAAGGATAGTAACCCCGACTTCCAGATTATCATACGTAGGATCAAGATGGACTTACAAAAGAGCGTGTAGAAGAAATCTATCAACACCGGGACCCAAGTAGTCACAGCCAATATTTGACCAAAGCTCCATTCCAGTTGGGGATCATCTCCATCGTCTTTATTGATCGTTTTGTCTCGAAAAGTGTAGAACACCGCGAGTGAACTCCACATCATCGCGAACAGACTCAACTGAGCCACGCTAAGAATGATCACTATTACGCGGTTGGTCGGAGGCTCTTGTTTCCATCTCTCTCGGTAATGCATAACCAACACCGTGGCGCCAGAAATGATCAGCAGAAGAACGGCTACGGTAATGGCAAGAAACATGAACGTTCTGGCCATAGTGACGGATTTCAAAGGCAGTCTGATAATCAGGTTCACTTTGTCATCCAGGTGCGAATTCCAACCCTCAGTATATATTGTGAGTGCCACTTGAATCGCGACAAAACAAGGCAGAATGACGACGTCCAGTAATCGCCTTCGTCGACCAGGCATTTGAAGCATAAGACCGCCCATAAATGGCGGGAGGGTGCTCAATATCGATGCCAGTGTAGCGAGATAAGTGTCGAAAAGATAAAGTGTTTTGCCGTCTTTCCATTGGTCTATGGAGTCGTCAGTCTCAAGGCCATTAGTGTCAAGCACTGTGCTTAGAGATGCAACTGTCACTCCCAAACTCAAAAGCACAGAACTCCAGTAGAAGGTTGGCAGAACAGCTCTGAGTGCGTTCAGTATCCTGGCATGGCTTGCCGGAGACCGAAGTAGGCGTGAATGGAAGTTTTCGGCCCAAGATCCGAAGAGAAAAGCAGTCGTAAGGAAAGCTTCAATCCAGAAGGATACTACTACCTGTGAGAAACGTGTCAGTTTCAAGCTCGATGCCTCCGTTGGTCTCTTTAGCTTACTCCTATTCCGGCGATATCGGCATTTCCTTGTATTCGAAGTGCAGAACGAAATTCTATGGTGCAACTTGGGCTATCCAGTTCCGACATGAGCTGATTTTGAAAGGAACATGAGGTTTCGCAGGCATCTGTGGAACAATAAGTCCAGCTGGTATCACAACAGAGCATGTACCATGATGTGACCTGAGCCACATTCAGATGCAATTGATTCGGAAGAAGTGTCGAGACTAGCGAGTGCAAGGCTCTGGTATTGACGGCACAGTAGTCAGATCCTTCCCATGTAGTTGTCCTTACAATGGTTTGCGCGAATTGGGCGAATAAGGTGCAATTTTGGCGAAAGGGCCATTGTTGATCCAATGGAGGTGCCCATGTGTCCGTATCGTTGGTGGCCATGATGGTCGAAGTCTTTGCGAACCTAGATCCTCCAGGTAGCTTTCAGATAGCTATGCGACAACAAGCAAGCATCTGACATCGCCGCTTACTTCCTGGTTTAACATCTCAGTCCGACCCTTTCGCTGGGAGCGCAAACAATTGACATGCGATCGAAGAGGGCAAGGATAGGAATGCGAGGCAATTTGTAGCGGTGGCTTTCATTTCAAGGAAGTATGGGGCCTCATTCGCAGATACATTTTCTGGAAGTGGCTGAGCTGGCCTTTGGGAGCACGAAGTTATCCAATGAGCAGGCGCTGTGCTTACTGGTGAGGCACTAACTGTGCCGTAGACTGCCTACGGTATATCATCTATATGCTTGGCACGGCTAACAGCTCAAGGTAACCTATCAAAGCTGCTCAAAGTCTGCCTGACATATGCACAGTCGACGTGAATGCCTTACCTTCTCGCCACACCAGATGGGCTGTTTAAAATCACCCGGTGATACAGGAGCGGGGCGCAGCCATCAAGAGTCCAGTGCCATCAAGAAAAAATACGGAATAAAAGCAATTTTACATTTATGACTCTTTAGCCCACTGTTCACCACCCCAAAGCTTTGTCGTAGTCCACAACCAATAGTCTCGGCCCTTGATCAACCACACCAAGAACCCCGGCAAACGCCATCCCATCGCCGCGCCGACGCCTTTACTCTTCCCAATCGGCACCATCTGCGTTTCTCTCAGATCTTCTTTGAACACTCGGTCGTCCTTGGCTGCCGCATCCGTTTTCCCCGAAGCAAGCAGCAAGTCCCGCTTGATGTTGGCGCAAAGAACCGGGACCGCGCCGAGAATATTGTGGACCGCCGGACGAGCATGCGAAGACACATCCCCGATGGCGTAGATGCGCGGCCCCGCTTTGTCAACACGGAGAGTTGACGGGTTCGTCTCGACGCGCCCATCAGAGGTGAGTAGCGAGGGATCGATGAATGAGGTGTTTGGGCGAGTCCCTGTTGCTGGGATGTACAGGTCCGCGCTGACAGTCTGGCCATTTGAAAGGTTGATGGTCGCAGACATTCCGACGTCCTCAACTCCAGCTTTGCTTGGGGCAACACTAACAACCCGAGTTTTCTTGATGACAATAACACCGACTTGTGCCAAATATTGCTCAGCCTTCTCGGCAAGTGACGGGCGCAACGCAGGGAGAATCTTGGATCCGGCTGTGACTAGCCTGATAGCCACCTTCGGCTTCTCCGGTGTCGAATTGAAGAGGCCCGCTCGACCATTGAGATACTCCCCCAGCTCTCCTGCAGTTTCGACTCCAGCCGGGCCGCCCCCTGCAATGACGATAGTCTTCGCTTGCGGTAGAGCCTTGCGAAAGTCCTCCCAGCTCTGCCGCAGACCTTCGTAGGTGCCGTTGAGTCCCAGAAGTGGACAAGGTGTAGACGCACCCGTCGCAATGACCAACGCCTCGAAGTTGATTGTTTCAACGCCCTTGTCCCCAGCCAAAGATACAGAGATGGTCCGGTGGACATGGTCCAGGGCCGTGGCAGTTGCGCACATAAAATGAAACTTGTCGACAGGGTACTGCCGGAACGCCGTCGCAATATCGATGAATAGTTTGTCCTGGGGAAACATGTCGTCCGATATCAAAGCGCGCGGACATGCGGGACGGCACATGACACGAGACGAACTGCTGACCAAGACAACCTGGAGTCCGTCCTCAACCGCTAAATGGGGAATAACATGTCGGAGGACATAATGAGCCGTTGAAACGCCGCCGTATGATCCGCCGAGGATGACAATGTTTTTCTTGTGCAAGGTGCTGTTTTGGGACATATTCAATGGAGTTGAGAAGAGTCCGATTGATGTAACCAAGTACGAAATTGAAGCGAGAAGCCTGTCACAGCTTGCAATTGACTGAGATGATACCAGCGAAATCATTACAACGAGCTCATGCTATTTGTACTATTTCTACACGTACTCTGCGGACCAACACGGACGGATGAGTATATCATGGTGGTGATAATCTTGAATGGTGGCTTGCGCCACGCTGACCGTTCGTCCGGTCTTCGGCCGAACAAGCCGTGCCTCGTGATCATGGCAGTACCAAAGAAGGCGCCGCAATATCGTAAATCAAGAACAATCGAAAGGGTTCAATGAAAGAATTCTCTTCCCAACGGATACCTAGTACGCAATTAAGATACCCAACTGCATGGAAAGTTGACGCAATACTTCCATGTGCGATACAAACAACGCAGGACCTGAGGGCAATGCAACGGGGCGCCAACGCTGCTCGTTGTCAAATCCGGGTTCGGCCTCCTCAGCTGAAGTCCATGCCTGATGAAGGTTTGCCCCCAGGTTGCGATACTTCGTGTTTGAAGCATGCAGTTGGGAGTGGATGGCCTCCAACTACCCCCAAAGCTGATGAGCACCAACGCCAAGAATTGCTATGCTCCTGCTGCCGATGCTCGTGGCAAGCAGGCACGTTGGCGGTTAAACAATTGCTGAACTTCCAGATCTAGCTTTCATTCGCTGGACGGTCTTTCAACCCCACACCACCATAACGAGTAAACCATCACGAATCTCTGTAACCGTTCTATGTCTAGATATAGGCCTGCATTGCCCCCGCTCCAACAGCTTTCACGGATCTGCATCACTCAGGTGTTGTTTGCCAAATACCGTCTGAATTAAAGTTATCTCGTTCCCAGCCACGCTGCGAGTGATAGCCTTCTAGTCAACTCAGTGCCCTGCATATTCCCCCGTTCAGGCCAACCTGCCAACGACATCTCGTAATTCTGCACCATGGCACCACGACCTGCTCGCACACTGCCAACTCCGCCGCCGCCTCCCGACCACACATCTCCCAACGCGCCACGCTTCGAGATATTGCCGACTCAGATTCACGTTTTTGGTTACCCCACCGACCAAGGCGACGGTGCCAACGTCGTTGCTCTCGAAGACGTCTCGGCCGTCGACCTCGAGTTTCTCTCACTGCCCTGGCAGCCCCTCAACAACCCAATCTGGGAAGCCTCGCGCAACGACCCCAAGTACTTCTCACTCGCGACCCACGTATCCGTCAACGATCCGATCCGCTACCAAGACCAGGCCGCAGAGAACGACTTCTGCCGGCGGCTCCTGCGTCTCGGCGCCCGGCGATGGGAGACGCTGGACCGGTTCCGCTTCGTGCTTGGTGCCGTTCATCACGACGACCTTGTCATGGACAAGATAGAGGGCGGGTTTGAGCCGGCGCCCGTGTCGGAGGAACGTTGCTGGGTGGCAGTGGCCTGGCCATTGGCAGGAGGCGTTTGTGGTGCTGAGGTTCCGAGGATGCTTGCAGGAATTGGAGATCAGGGGGAGCAGTCTGCCAAGCAGGAATTCAAGATGGACCGCAGGTCTATTCTGAAAATGGCGAGGAGTATGGACGAGAAAGCCAGTGTTTTGTTGGTCACCTTTGAAGGCAAGATGTACAACTCTGTGGATGAAGTCGACAGCGTCGTGCTTCGCCAACGAGACCTTGCTTAGTCGAGTTAACACTCTCATCATGATGGATTCTAAACTTTCACGGTAAAGGCTTAAGATTAGATTCTCAGAAAGCGGTATGAGATTCTCGCTTTCCTTTTCAATCTTGATCTTCCTAATCTGATCTTTTTGTGATGAATGGGTTTCAGCATGGTTGACGAGAGTGGATATGGATGGTCTTTAATCCATTGCACCTGTATTTCTAGCACAGCAACATGAAGGTCGGATTGAGCTGGATTTACGTGTAGTTGACAGAGAGCTTCGTTATTGCTACCTAAGTCAACGCGCCCGCTGTCGCCTCACAAGAACCAGACCTTTCCAAACCTCGGTCTGTTCAGGCTCAGTCTGAGCCGAGTTGACAACTGGGGAGTTGACAAAAGTTGCCAGGATCATGACAGTTCAGAAAAAGCTCTCGCCCACGTGTCTCAGTTCAGTCGGCGACTCGGGGAACGCCGAGGGGGACGTGGCCCGTCAAGGTAGCGGGCGATGAGGTAATGGGAACCCGCTGCTGCGCTCCCTTTGGAGGGGCAACGGTTCAGAAAAAATTCCTTTGCCCGCTAGGGGGTGGCGGCGGTGTGGAGTTTTCGGTGCTGGGGCCCCTGTCTTGCGCCGAGCGTCAGCGCTGTTGCGCGCTGCACTGAAGCGGCAGGTGGCAGGCTGGTTGGCCGCTGGTACCTAGGCAGGTCGGGCCACGGGCGGTTGAGGCAGGTGGGCGGATATCTTCGGCGTTGGCGGGGTCATTTTTCATTCTCGCACCATCCCACCACAAGGATTGCGTTTCTCTTTTTGGCTTCGTCAGACCTGCGTCCGTGGGCTGAGGAAGTATTCTTCTTTTCTTCTTTCCTACCTCTTGCTCTGTTGCGACTTTCTCTCTTTCATACCCTAAACAAACATTCCGAATACCCACGATCCCTCAATCCGCAATCATGGGCGACATCAAGTCCATCAACGCCACCAGAGTGGCCGTCACCGCCCTGTCGGCGACTGAGCTCATTGGCAACACGCCGCTCGTTCGTCTGAACAAGATCCCCCAGAGCTTGGGAATCGAGGCCGAGGTGTACGCCAAGGTCGAGCTCTTCAACGCCGGCGGCAGCGTCAAGGACAGAATAGCCCTGCGCATGATCGAGGAGGCCGAGAAGAGCGCCCGCATCAAGCCCGGCGATACTCTCATCGAGCCCACCAGCGGCAACACGTACGTTTGCGCAGCATTGCCCTGCCCTCTGACTCTCCAAAGCTAAACACATTTCTCTCCAGTGGTATCGGCCTGGCGCTCGTCGGCGCGATCAAGGGCTACAAGACCATCATCACCCTCCCCGAGAAGATGTCCGCCGAGAAAGTCTCCGTCCTCAAGGCCCTCGGCGCCACCATCATCCGCACCCCGACCCAGGCCGCGTGGGACAGCCCCGAGTCGCACATCGGCGTCGCCCGCCGCCTCGAGAAGGAGATCCCCAACGCCCACATCCTCGACCAGTACGGCAACCTCGACAATCCGCTCGCCCACGAGTTCGGCACCGCCGAGGAGATCTGGAACCAGACCAACGGCGCCATCACCGCCGTCGTCGCCGGCGCCGGCACCGGCGGCACCATCACCGGCATCGCCCGCGGCCTCAAGAAGCACAACAAGAATATCAAGGTCATCGCCGCAGACCCCCACGGCAGCATCCTCGCCCTGCCCGAGTCGCTCAACCAGGAGCACGTGAACGAGGGCTACAAGGTCGAGGGTATCGGGTACGACTTCATCCCGGACGTGCTGGACCGCGAGATCGTCGACAAGTGGTACAAGACCGAGGACCGCGAGTCGTTCCAGCTCGCGCGCCGCCTGATCGCCGAGGAGGGCCTGTTGGTCGGCGGCAGCTCCGGCTCCGCGATGGCGGCCATGGTCCGCGCCGTCAAGGACCTCGGCCTCGGCAAGGGCGACACCGTAGTCGTCGTGCTGCCCGACAGCATTCGCAGCTACCTCTCCAAGTTCGCCGACGACGACTGGCTGGCGGCGAACGATCTCCTCCCTGAGGTCAACGGCCTCGAGACGCAGGCCTCGTCGAACAAGCCCGAGACGACGGACCCCTACCACGGCGCGACGATCCGCGCGCTGCGCCTGAAGCCCGTCATGACCGTCTCCGCGTCCAGCCCCGTCTCCGAGGCGTCCGAGATCATGCGCGACAAGGGCTTCGACCAGCTCCCCGTGCTCTCTGCGACGGGCAACAAGCTCGTCGGCCTGGTCACGCTCGGCAACCTGCTCAGCTACGTGTCCTCGGGCCGCGCGTCCGCGAGCAGCCCCGTCAGCGACGTCATGTTCGACTTCGGTCGTCTGGACGAGGTCGTCACGGATCCCCGAGAGATTGCCGGCGGCGAGGCCAAGGAGAAGGGCAAGAAGCGCAAGTTTGTCGAGATCACGCTCGACACGCCGCTGTCGACGCTCAGCAAGTTTCTCGAGTGGAACAGCGCGGCGGTTGTCACTGAGAAGAGCGAGGGCAACAAGGCGCTGTCGAAGCCCGTGGCGGTCGTCACCAAGGTCGACCTGCTCACCTGGGTTGTGAACAAGAAGGCGTAGATGTTATCTTTTTCCCCTTCATGATGATGAATTGGATTTGATAGAGTGGGGCAAAAGATATACGAGGAGGGATGATGGGATTTTGTCTTTATCAACGGCGTTTGGAAGCGAGCATCGCGGTGGCAGGGGCGAATCTTGGGTCGCATCAACTGACCCCGGTTTGGCAGCATTGGATTGGAAGTCTCGGATGGGTAGACTCAACATCTACATAGAACAGGGCAGCCTGGATCAATGGATTGAATAACAGTATGCGCATTTTTGAACCCAGCTTTTTTTGCTCCGTATCACGCTTGTCACATTCTTGGATGACGCTTTTGTTGCTCAAAATCATGTAATTGTATTATTATACGCCACTTTCGGCGATGATTATTACACCCGCTCGGCGATCCATGACCACCACTTATCGGCTCCGGGACCGCTTCCAGACACGTTGCCCGCGACAACATCAACCTCAACATCGAATTCGCGCAGCTGGTCAAAGGTGAACTTCTCGGTGCCGTATGCGCCCAGCCAATCGTCGTGCTCCTCCGAGCCAATATCATCAATACCGACGCCAGAATCCAACAGACCCTTGCTGCGCGAAGCGCGGATGCGGGTGATCTCCGCCTCCAGACTCGTCTTCACAAGCGCGCCGGGGAGCGCAGTGAAGAGGTCGACCTTGTTCGCAGCCACCAGGACGGGGATCGGCGCAGGGGGCTTGGAGGTCTTGCTCGAGGAGGCGCGCTTCTGCAGACCCAGCAGGACATCGTAGAGGTAGCTGGCGGACGGGGCGAGGACGTCCTGCTCGCTGATGGCGGCGGCGTCGACCATGTAGACGATGGACTTGAGCTTGGACTTGTCGTTGGCGCTGCCGGCGAGCTTCGCCATGGCGAAGTTGCGCAGCTTGCCATGGCCGGGGGTGTCGACGAGGAGGAACTTTGTGTGGGTGCCGCTGGTGTCGTCGTGGTTGCGGAAGCTGGTCTTGGTCTTGCTGTCGCGGGAGGCCGTGAGCTCGACGGTCTTGGGGCGCTGGGAGGTGTGGGTCGCCGCGGGGGTGTCGCCGCGCTCGAAGAGGGTGAGGAGGGCGGTCTTGCCGGCGCCGGAGGGCCCGAGGAGGAGCACGGAGGGGAGGGTGGTGTAGGGCGTCGACTTGACGAGGATGAAGTGCAGCAGGATGGGGAAGAGGAGGACGATGGCGACGCCGATTAGGATGACGGGGGCGGAGGGCGTCATGATGTGTTCAAAGAACTCGACGAAGGAGCCTGTGTTGGCTGCCATGATTGCGATCGTTTGGCCTCTGGGGACAGGAGGCGTGGGGAGGGGGGTCGTATCGAGTACGAGGCGCGCGAACGGCCGACTGTTGGGAAGATTGACGATGTTTTAGTTGTGGTCGTTGACAGATTTCCAGAAGGAATCGCGCGCCAATGCCATGCCGTCAGTGGAGCGGGAGGCGTCTGTCTGGTGGAGCCGTCTCTGTGTTAGACCCGTTGAGTTGTCTTTACCAGCCACACTTGCGCGCCTGAGGGACGAGGCTGAGGGTGGCCGAGGGACCCGACCAACCAGGGGCCTCATGCGTGACCGACGCCAAGCTTTGGGGCGCTGTCACCCTGCCATCCAATCACGGCTACGACGGCAGGTGACGGGTGGGTGGCCTCCTTTGTCAGCTCAGCCTCGCTAGTCCGATTTAGGGGGAGGGCCCACGGCGATCTCCTTCTGACCTCTTTCTTAGTGGAAAGCGCCCCCAGTCTTCAACGCTGCTGCCGAGTGAAGTGCTGGAGCTGACGACACGCAATTTCGTCCCCTTGGCTTCGGTGCCTTTTCCGCTCCGTCGTTTCTTTTCGCCTCGACCGTTGTGCGTTTTGCGTTGTGTCTCTTTTTATTCCCACCTTCGAGACCCCTGGCCTTGTATCTTTTTTTTTTTTTTTAACTACCGTCGTCGCCTGGACCATCAACCTTAACGAGCAATGCGACGCTAAGATCGATCCGAAAAGCTTCCGTCTGCCGAATAGATACTTCCCCCCGTCCTCCCGTCGCATACACCAGCGTCCACTCCTTCGATAATCTCCCCGTCCTTCCGAGCCCACAACCACACAATCGCGCCAAGCTTGGCCCCCGACCTCGATGGACAAGTCAACGACACCAGGAGGCGGCGCCGCAGCTGCCTCTGTCGCCCCGAACCAGCCCGCCAACAAGACCAGTGCCGTCGCGCCGACATTAAACAACGAGGTCGAGATGGGAAACATGGGCGGCGATGCGCCAAACGCGGAGAACGACATCATGCAGATTGCCAGAGTCGGAGACGTCCCGGCCATGGAGAAGCTCTTTGAGGCTGGCGAGTACGATGCGACTTTCTCAGACGACGAGGGCATCACCCCCCTCCATGTACGTTTCCATGCAGCCTCCCAGCGTCCACTCTTTGTACCACCTTTGACCGCATCACATGGCGCTAACGGCTCCTAGTGGGCAGCAATCAACAACCAGTATGCCATGTGCAAGTTCCTCATCGACAACGGTGCCGAGATCAACAGGAAGGGTGGAGAGTCAGTAGCCACTCCCCTCCAGTGGGCCGCCCAGAGATGTCACTACTACACCGTCAACCTCCTCCTCCAGCATGGCGCTGACCCCCTCATCACCGACGCCCAGGGCTACAACACCCTCCACATCTCGACCTTCAACGGCAACACGCTGCTGCTTGTCCTCCTCCTCCACCAGGGCATCCCCGTCGACGTCCTCGACAGCTACGGGCACACGGCCTTGATGTGGTCTGCCTACAAGGGCTTCCCGCAATGCGTCGACCTCTTCCTCCGCTGGGGCGCCAGCGTCCACACGACCGACGAGCAGGGCTTCACCGCGCTGCACTGGGCGCTCGTCAAGGGCTCCCCCGCGTGTATACAGAGACTACTCGAGTACGGCGCGGACCGATTCGCGAAGACGCAGACCGGCAAGACGCCTGCGGTGACGGCGAAGGAGCTTAACACAACCAACGCGTGGCACCGCGCCTTGAAGGAGTGTGGGTACGACGAGGATGCGCAGCCGATCGAGCCGCATTTCCCTGGTGCGCGCTTCCTCCGCCAGGATAAGAGGGGATTCGTCACCAAGTTCCTGTTCCTCTGGCCGTTCGTGCTGGTGTGGTCTATCATCACCATACTGGGGAGCATGCCGGTGTATGCTGGCGTGTTCTTCGCGGTGATAGTAGGATACAGCATCCAATGGTGCGCGCAACAGGTCATTGAGTTTGCGCCGCCTGATATGAAGCACTTCCATAAGACTGTGAGTGTCTTTGGTCTCTCATGCGAGATTAATGCTGACGATTGTAGCCCTGGTTGGCAGGCATCTTTGCCGCTTCCGTATTCTGGACTGGCCTTAGATGGCTGACGACCGTCCTGCCTGGCACCACTGGATCTGCCGCCACTCAGTCTCACTGGTGGTTGAACTTGCTCTTTGGAACTTTCCTCGGCCTTACTGCCTACTTCTATGCCGCCGCTATGCGCTACGATCCCGGTTTCGTCCCCAAGATGAATGGCATCGCCGAGCAGAAGGCCGTCATTGATGAGCTGCTTAAGCTGTGGAAGTTTGATGAGTCCAACTTCTGTGTTACATGCATGATCAGGACCCCTCTCCGCAGCAAGCATTGCAAGCGTTGTCAGAAGTGTGTCGCGAAGCATGACCAGTGAGTGTACCCTAATTCTTGAGACGAAGCTGCTTGCTAACCTCAGTAGCCACTGCCCCTGGGTCTACAACTGCGTTGGCGTCAACAACCATCGCCACTTCTTCTTGTACCTCATCAGCTTGACCTTGGGCATCATCTCCTTTGACTTCCTTGTCTACTACTGTAGGTGGCTCATGTCTCACACTCAGATCTGATATCTAACTCTCGCGTAGACCTGTCCGACATCTCAGCCAATGCTTCCGACAGCTGCAACTTCCTCAGCCCTGGCCTCTGCAAGGTTGTTAACGCTGATGGCTACACGGCGATCCTTACCGTCTGGGTCTCCCTACAACTTACCTGGGTTGGCATGCTGCTCTTCGTTCAGTTCGTCCAAGTCTCCCGCGCGATGACTACCTACGAGAACATGTTCGGTATCCAGGACGGCTCCGTTACCTCTGCCTTCACCTCGACCGGCACTCCCCTCGATCCGAACCACCCCTCCCTCGCAACTCCCGAGACCCATGGCCATGGCCACGCCCACAAGCACAAGGGCGGTCGCCTCCAGCAATGGGCCCGTCTTCTCGGCGTCGACCCCTTCATCGAGACCATCCGCGGTCGCGGCGCCGCCACCGGCAACAAGCGCAGGAAGAAGAACCCCTACTCCAACGGCTGCATGGCCAACTGCCGCGACTTCTGGTGCGATCCCGCCCCCACCTTTGGTCCTCGCGAGAACGGTTCGGCTATGCTGGCTGGCGAGCCCATCAACTACACGGCGATGTACGAGAGCCCATCTCTTATGAACATGAGCCGTGGACGACGCAGAGCGGGTGGTTACGAGTCAGTCGCCGGCGAGGAGGTGTAATAGAATTGCTTGCTCGTTTTCGAAGATTGGCCAGCGCGCGAAACTTGAGTTCAGAAAAGTGCTAAAGAAACCCAATGCCCATGGTTTGAAGGGGAGGTTTTATATGGTGTTGAGAGTTCATTTTCAGAAGCGAGCCGGGACGAAAAGACGGATTGATGATGATCAAAAGAGAAGAGTGAGACAAATGTTCCCCACGAAAAAGAAAGAAGACGCGGCGTAATGGCACTGCTGCATGGCTCCTTTGCGAAATGTGTATTATTGGGTACATGTAGAAGGTATGACTTTGTTTTTTTTCTTTGCTGTTACAGGTGTTGAAGGGCTTTTGACTTGTTTTCTGGTGGTAGTAGTGGTGGTGTGTAACGAGTCTCGGGCGATGAAGATTTGTGGTAAAACTGAGAGGAAGGGGGGAAGGATACATGCGATTACGCTTTACAAATACGGGTTGGAGATGGATGGATCAGTCACAGTATATCGCGGTGCGTGGTCTATCCATCTCTCTAACCCATATTTGTGAAGCGTAATCGTGTATGTATCTTTTTCCCTTTTCTTCTGAGTTTTCATGGGGGGTGAGGGGAGGAGGGTAATGATGGATTGAGTAGATTTCAATATATTGGGCTTTGCCTCATTTTCTTGTTTCTCTGTTGTGATGTATTATAAATCAACTTGATTCGCCTTCGAGTATAAAACAATCTTGATCACGATTTCGTATGATACCTAAAGAATTCTTTGGGCCGGTGCAAAAGGCAACGAGACCAGGATATGAGCACACCGAAGAAACTAACCACAGTGTCTTAATGTTACAAAAGAAACCATCCCGCCGCTTATTTACTGAAACTGATCATATGAATTTGTAATCGAGGTACTATGTGGTTGCTAAGGTCTATAAGTCTAGGATATTTGTTCTATGGGGAGGGGAATTCACCTCTGAACTCTTTTAGGCAAGGAGTCTGTCTGTGAGCTTGACAATATCGTTGTAACCTTGTTGCTCTGCTTTGTGTCTCAAAATGCTCAAGCCATCGGCGGCCAGATTCGTCTCCGGGTAAGACAACAGCAGGAGGGCGATTGAGGGTCGCTGATAATCTATTGCTCTCCAAATCCCGGTAAATGATGTGATGGTGGGCTTGGCAGTCTTGAGCAGAACTTTGAGCGTTAACTCAACCCTATGCCATCGTTCCATTGCATTTTTCAAGAAGCGCATTGGAGACGGCAAACATTTCGCAACGTAGTCAACGTCACGTTTGAACTTGAAGCCGTTTTGGGAAAGAAACTCCACCATGGAGGGATTGTGCCGCTCACAAGCCTCTACTAATGGATCATCCGGTCCATTTTCGATGTCTTTCTCTTGAGAAAAGTCGTAGAAACTCGTGAGTAGTTGCACAATTTCCAAGTGACCTTGCACGACCGCTTTCATCAGAGCGATTCGGATACCGGAGTCAGCAAAAGTAATCGACTTAGCATATGCCTGGAGAATCAAGTCGGCTATTTTGATATTTCCCTTCGCACAGGCATGAGCCAGCGGTGTAAACGGAGGCATTTCGTGTGCCTTGGTGGTCTTCGTCTGCTTTGGCTGGTATGAAGCCGGCTTGCCAAGGTTTGCGCCTCTATCTATTAGCAGTTCGCACAATTTGTAGTTTTTACGATCCACGGCTCTCCATAAAGGAGTGTGGTAGTCGTTCTTCCCTCCATCTACAGCGTTTATGTCAGCACCTCCATCAAGCAGTTCTATAACACGGTCAATGTCTTCAAATCTCATTACTTGAAGAAGATTGTCTTTGTCATACTCCGGCCGACTGCGTCTCTCCTTCTGTGGAAATTGTAAGAATACTGGTGGGTTTTCGTGATAGTCCTTTACATGGTCCTTGAGGCCGACTTGTGAATCATAACCGAAGGCCTGTCCAAAGCAGAACTGAAAATTGCAGAGAAATCGTCTGTCATGGCGATTGATATGTTGCGCTCTCTTATGAGTTGTGTCGAAACCTTCGGAAAACATTGAGCAAACGGGCTTGGGGCACTTGTAGACTGGGATAGTGCCATAGAGGTCATCTAAAATCACATGTTCCGCAAATGTGAGATCATTCAAGCTCTCAATGTTTTGTCGAATCCAGGACGTCCGTTGCTCAATGTCTAGAAGCGTCGTTCGTTCCGTGTCGTCGCTTGGGAGGCTATTAACTATTATCTCCGGAGTAAGAGAATCATTTTTCTCTCTTTTCGCCATTGAATTGACGTAGTCTTCCAGAAAAAATTGTGTTGAATGTGATGCTCTCCGGACCTCTTCCATGAGTTCAGAATCATTTAGTCTGCCACCGGTCGGTTTGTCTTTGAGTGCGTCTGTGAGTGCCTTAAGATGGTCGTACCAATACGCAACCGCGTAGTCTTGCAAAGAGTAATATGCCTGTCTAGCATGCAAACAGACTTCTTCTGCACGACAGGTCTGGGAGAAGGGTGGCGAAGCAAGGTATTCGGTGCAGAACGACAAGAGTCGCGCGTTCTCCAAGCAAATGTCAACAATTTTCTTCCCGAGCAGATACCTATGGAATTCAATTAGCCTCAGGTACCTTGTATGTTCTTCGGTCCTAACATTTGTGCAGAATAGTGAACAATTCGCACGACTTGCTCTGGTTGGCTTGTTCGTCCATTCCATGGGTGCAAATCCACAAGCGAACCGCAAAGTTCTTTGGCGGTGAGTTGCAACCGCTCTTCGGAGTCTAAGATCCACTCGTCGCTGTCAATGCAGAAAAATGACTGAATCTCTCGCCATTTTAGGTCTCGTTTTGCGGTAACAACGAGGGCAATGGTCTTTTTGGCAGCCTCCCTCTCGGATTCATGTTCTGACTCGAAGATGCTGGTGACAATTCTTTCGTATCTAAGGTAGTATGCGTCAGCTCATGTATGAGTAGAACCAGGAAATGACTAGATCTTACGCATTTTCAAGTTTCTCCGGGAAAACGTCGGGCCTGATCGCCTTCTTCAGCTTTCCCAGGCTCACCTGGCGGTAGAGATATTCCAGGACAACTCTAGCGTAGAGAAACATCCCTATGATTCATCAGCAAAGCCCTGCTTGCCTCAAGTTTAGCGCAAAACATCCAGCTTACCACGTGCCCCACGTGTGACCAACGAGACAATTTTTGTTTCTAAGTCCCGGTCAAGATCAAACTTCTGTTGGATTTTCGACCCGTATTGCACACAGTATTCCTGGACATCAGAGGCGTGCTGCGAGGACTCGAGACAGATTGCTGGATACGAGTTCAGTAGTAACTTGTCAAGAACGCCGTTTCTTTGGCTGGAGAAAATCATGCGCAGAGTCGTCTTGCCTTTATATCTGTCGTCATCACAAAGAGAAAGCAGCCACGAAACCGTGGCTTTTGCATGCACCTGATCACATTCATCCAATCCATCAAGGACTAGAAATGAAACGCGATACTCTTCGAGCGCTTTCTTCGTCAGGCTTTCGAGGCTTTTTCGCGATCCAATTTTCTTTTTGTCTTGATTTGACAACTCTTCATGGAAGTCTTGCGAAGCTGTTGTGTCTTGATCGAGGAGTTGAGTCAAAATTGCTTTCAAGAAGCTTTCATGACTGTTCTTTTCTGCGTTTCCATGTTTGAAGTAGAAATACGCCACAGAATATGGCGTTGATTGCTTGAAGGCATAGAGCTCGAGAAGCCGGCTGATGACCGAAGACACGAGCACTGTTTTCCCTACACGTGTTTAGGATTATCAGCCAAAATTCATGTTCTTTCGAAGGATTACGAAAGCCACCTACCAGCTCCAGGTATACCATGGATATATAGAACTGAGTGGTTCATGGTATTTATGTCTGACCAAGACACGTACTGTGGTTCCTGAAAAAGCCACTCACCCGCACCTGATTCCTTTCTTGTTTGAGTTGCGGCCTCCTGATCCGCTGAATATTCTGTGGCGCGCAGCCTATTCTTAATGAGAGACATCCTGGATTGATGTTCCTCCTGCGCATGCTTTTCAGCTGTCCTTGTATTTTCTTCGTGCATGTTGGCGATTTCTTTTCGCATCACGTGAACTTGTTCAAGAGAAGCATAAACCGTTTCGCTTAGCAACAACTCTTGTCGACGTCTCAGACTCTGTATGATTGGGCCAAATCGTGTGTCGAATGTTTTCCATGTGGCATGGAACAAGTCCCTCCATGCTTTTGTGGGGATCAGCTCTGCCCTCTTCCATATGCTTACAGTTCAAGGCAAGGACATACTAGGCCGGATGAGAACACTGAGAGCCGCCTGGTGGAACTCCAAGATGTCCGAATAATAATCTTGGAGAACCAATTTCAGTGTCGGATGTTGCTCGAAACTGTTTTTATGGAATAAGTGGCCTGGAATTGCGTCTCCAATCTGAGCATACATATCCAGCAGCTTATCGAAAGTGTCAAGGTGATTCTTTGCGGTCTAATTCAATTAGAGACCGGCGTTGCTGTCCCTGAGAGAGGCACTCACGACGAGCAGGAACTTCATTGGACCCTATCGTATCACAGTCACTATTCATATACATCCATTAAAAGGCCAAAAGCCAGCATGCTTACCCATATAAAACAAACGAAGTCGTTCGCATTAACGAAGACCTCAATGGTCAAACCAAATTGAATCATAGCTTCAATGAACTTCTTCAGACGCGGCATGTTGCGCATTGATCCTTTAGCTCCGAGTTCGATTTGAATGGCCCTGATTTCATCTTTGAGAGATGGAAGGCTAGCAGCGTCTCCAGTGAATTGACTCGATAGGCGTGGAGGCACGGATCTAGCGAACTTTTCAGCAGCGCGCCGAAGTCCTGACTTTATTTGCGCGGTCGGATCCATGTCCAGTGTGTCGCGGACATCCTCAGAGCCCTGGACACGTAAATACGTTGAAATACTGGATTTTAGCAATCAAGTCCGCGGAGAAAAAGACGGCGCTGGGTTATTCACAAAGAAAGAGGGGGTGAGCGAGGGGTCATATGCATTACGCCGAGGCACCCTTGCAGCAGACAGCAGTCAGGCTAGGCGACCGATAAGTACGCCTCGCAAAGTGCCCGCAGGTTCACAGCAAGGCAACTGACAAATGGTTGGTAGTGAAGTGGAACAGGAGCTCAAGGATTGGCGACTGCGCCGCAGACCTGTGCTGGCCGTGGCGACCCGGGCCGCAATAAGCCAGACCAGGCCAGGGCTGAGTCGATAAATGGGCGGCTAACCTGATCTCGTGTTCTGACGAAAATAATATCTCAGCTTCATTCATCAACAAGATTTCTGATTCCCTTGAAACGTAAACATCGCCATGCAAAGGTCTTTCGACGATGCATTCCATTACGGCGATACCGAGCCAGGGGTACTGGATGAAGTTTGTTTCGGCGCAGTGAGTCTGATCCACCTCGCACTTGACATTACATTCCATAAAAGCTCAACTCATGATCGGCAGTTGTACGATAGAGCCGCACTACCTGGTTCCACCCAGAAAGCTTTCGACAAACGCAGCCACGCAGAGTGTCCCGGCTGCGAGGGATTCTTTCTTTTTGACATACTAAGACAGGGGAGCTACCATGCTATTTGCTGGCCAGGCGATTCGGAAGATTTCGCGGTGCTTGACACTCAATCCAGCAAGCAGTTGCAGTCCATCTCTGACGTTCACTCTGTACGATTCAAGGCCGTGGTGGAAGTAGCGGCAGTAAGAAAGCGGAAAAGGGCGGTGGCAGTGAGTCCAGAACCTATCGACGTTTCCATCAACGTCTACGGCCTACGATCGGTTGCAGATGAGGTCGGAAATAGATTGTCTGCCTCCTCGGCATTCCTGCAACACCCAAAAGCTCTGCCACGAGAGACAGAATATCACAATCCGCAGTACTTTGAGTTCTCGGAAGATGAGGCAGATATGAAAGCTCTCGTCGGCATAACGAACAATTCGCCATCGGCACAACGTGCCAAAATCTCAGATGAGATCTCAAACATCCTTGAGTGCCTCACAGAAGGAGCGGACAATGTTAAGATTGACTACTGCCAACTGAAAGGGCTGCGTTCACAGCTCAAACCGTCAGTCTGCATAAGAATTTTGCAAGCCATTATCCTAACAAGACAATGATAGGCATCAGGAAGGAGGGGTCTCCTTCATCAGACGGAGAGAAGCTCAATATGAGCAAGTGCAGTCCATGTCGAGGTGCGTCTCGCGGAACAATTTCGGAACATTTTCTAATCAAGTCCCAGCCTTGATGACAAAGAATCGCTACCCGTGCGTTGCGGTGGCATAATTGCAGATGTCATGGGCTTGGGAAAGACACTTACGGTGCTAGCGTCCATTTTACGATCCATACCCGACGCTGAAGTATTTCAAAAATTCGACCGCCCGATTAGTAAAAACGACAAGCCAAGCCTTCGTACAAAGGCCACCTTGATCGTCGTCTCATCTGCGCGTGAGTTAACCCACATGCTTAAGGCCTTGAAGGAAGCGCTGATTTCATGGAGAAGAGCTGCTAGATAATTGGCGGTCGGAAATTGAATGGTACGTCAAATAAGTGCGCATTGCTAGTTTTCGAACCTTACCACAAACAGTCACTTCGAGCCGGGGACTTTCAACACAATTACATTTCATAGTTCAAAACGTGTTCACAAACTCAGTGATCTTGCGTCCGCCAATATTGTTCTGACAACCTATGCCACCATTATGGCCGAGGAGAAGGGCAAGAATACTCTGCGGCGATTAAGTTGGTTTCGAATTGTTCTCGATGAAGGTCAGACACGAAAAGAGTGCGACTATTGGCGATGTGCAGAGGTCTGACGAAGTACAGCTCATTGGATACGGAACGCAGCGTCCAAACAATTTAAGTCTGTCGCTACTTTATCGGCCCGCAACCGATGGTGTCTTACCGGAACACCAGTCCAGAACAAGCTCGATGATATTGCTGCTCTGGCGGCTTTCCTCCAACTACGGCCTATCTCAACCAAGGCATCGTTCCAAAAGGCTGTTCTGGATCCTCTCTCACAGGGGGGGAAGGACTTTTCAAAACCTCTCCGCTCATGGCTTAGGGCGGTTTGCATCCGAAGAACTGAGAAATTGCTTCAACTACCCGCCTCGGTTGAAGAAACGGTCCTAGTCAGTTTGTCTATCGCAGAAAGACATCTCTACGATCGAGTTCTACGTGATACCAAACGCGAGATTGATCGCAAGGTGAACAAAGGCAAGAGCCTAAAGAAGTATAATATTCTGTTCAGCGCAATCCTCGATATGCGAATGCTCTGCAACAGTGGAACATATTCGAATGTTTCTACTTACCAGAGACATTTGAGAATCGCTCAAACAAATGAAACAGAGTGTGAGAAATGTTCTACATCTAATGACAAAGATACAGAACTGCTATTGATAGATTTCCAATTCTGTCCGGATTGCGGTAGACCCCTCCAGATTTCCAGCCCTGGACCAAATCTTGATTCTTATCAGGGCGGTAACTCACCGATGTCAGAACTATCTCCAGTGTCCGAAGAAAGTTCAAATAAGTACTCGGCAAAGCTTTCTGCAGTAATAGAGAGGATTATAATGAGTAACTGTACATCGAAGCAGTGAGTTTCTCGCGTGGACCACTTAAAGTAGAGCCCGCCGAGTCTTGAGAACTGACAGACCCCTAAGCATTGTATTCTCATACTGGACATCTACGCTAGACCTCCTCTCCAAGTCCCTTGATAATGTAGGAGCGAGTCACGTGCAAGTGGACGGGAGAACGGGTTACACAGAAAGGTCACAACGGCTTCGGCAATTTCGAGAGGATACAAGCATTTTCGTGCTGTTGATGTCGATCGGAACGGGGGCTGTAGGGTAAGTCCAAATAGGACATTCGGGGACGCGCTGACCGCCAAATAGATTGAACCTCACGGCTGCTAACTACGTACACATAGTGGAGCCTCAGTGGAACCCTTCTGTAGAAGAGCAAGCCATCGCACGAGCTCTACGGATGGGCCAGACACGGGAGGTCACTGTCCTGCGGTACGTCGTGCAGCGTACTGTTGAGCAGGTAGGCTATCGAGAGAATTGAAAGATGCCAGTGTGGGGAGTATAAAAGACGCTGACACAATCTAGAATATTACGCACCTCCAAAAGAAGAAGAAGAGCGTTGCCAAATTCATGTTTAATGTTGGCGCAGCAGAGGAACTAGACGGAAAGCTGGAGGTACGAGATGCCCATTGATCCCTGGAAATGACAGCACTAACGCCTCTTTCACAGGATTTGAAATTTGTTTTAGATCTTGATTCTAGTCCAATAGGGTAACTGTATCGGCAGATAAGCTCGACGGAAAGCTCAAGGTACCATGCATCTTGAGGTCAACGGAAGTGCCAAACCACTCATGTCAATACGTTGCCAATAGAATTTGAAGTTTTTGCTGTTTTAAACTCTTCTGTAGGTTAACAACTCTAAAACCATTGTTTTCAAGGCTACTAGGTACTCATCGTCATGATGTCATGTAATCATGGAGTCGATAATGTCAACGCAAATATGGAAAGCGGACTTCCACGAGACTCACAGTCAAAATGGAAACTGGACTTTGTGAACTGGCTTTATCAATATGACTCAAGTGTACGACGCGCTAGAGATGATGGCGTCGCAACTGTTTGGGGAACGCCGAGCGTTGTTTCGCCTTTCTGTACGATAGTGACTAAATTGATTCATCTTCATTTTGATAAACCTGTCTTTCTCCGTGACGGTCTTTGGATCCACCGATGCCTCGCCCATGCCTTGGCTACGGAGCCTTTACCAGTATATCTCGTCAATGTCAAAGCAGTAACTTCTTTTGTCGTTGTCGTTCTTATTTTCGACGTCACATACGTCGTGTAGCGCAGGCCTACATGTCTAAACTAACCAATGTACACTATTGCCGTCCCTCAGATTGGAATCGTCTCCCGTACAAAGCAAGCAGTAACTCGATGCAAGATTGAACCAAAACCTCCCACTATCCCGAGACTCCTGCACTCTGACCAACAGACAGCCGTTACCGGTCCGCATGCCACTTTGGGCCTCGACCCGTTCAACAGCTCGAATGAACTGATTTTGTTTGGGGGGATGAACAGGTTAAACAACTCTTCCACGGTTATTGTTTCAAGCAGGGTTATAGGTCGGCGAAGCAAGAGCCACCAAGGCAGATCGTACGCATATTGGGCTTGCAGTGCGTTTGTACAAGCAAAGTCGAGTACAGCCGTGATCTCTAACGTATCTGGATCAACCAACATGTTGGATGGTCGCATGTCCTCGCAATAAATCCAGGAGGGTCCGGCGTCATCAATGACACCGTAGCTTAGGATGAGCTTTCCGAAGCAGTGACGATTCACAAATTGCCTCCATGCGGTGTATGCATTGGCCCAAGCTATATTTCTTTGGGTGTCAAGTTGTGCCTGGAGTAGTCGCGCGCACGCTGTAAATTAGTTTCTTGCTCGATCAAACCTGTTAATTAGATCGAAGTGGTTCTCTGGGCAATTTCCAACGGTGACTGCATCGTTCATGTCGTACGTGAGAGGCCGTCCAGTCACACCCCACTGTCCGTCCAGAGTTTATTGAGAAATCGAGCCAAATTTCGAGAATTGAAGGTCGGATATCTCCACCAGGAATTCTGCAATCTGATCATAAATGATGTCCAGCTTTCGGTCTTCGATGTTTGGATCCAGGATAAACCCCCCCCCCACACTCCATCCTCGGTCGGCTTCTGTAGAAACTCACTCAAGTCGCACCCTCTCATGTGCTCCATGAATGTGAATGGGCCAGTTTGTCGCAGGCTTTCCTCGGTAAGGCCCAAGGTGTTGATTGGTAGAATGGGGATAGTAATTGTCTCTCGGAGGAACTCCATCGTCATAACCTCGTTCTTGACTTTTTCACCTCGCCAGGGAGCGTGTATGGTGACGGAGCAGAATCGAATAAGCACCCGCTCGTCCGTATCTCCACGCCTTACGCAAATGCTGATGTTGGAAGAACCCGCAAAACAGCTATCGTACTCTCCGTCGCCATTCTAACCAAGCTTGCTGTCAACAAAGGCCACAACATCCCCAAGCGAATGAAACACCTTGTGCACAAAGGCCGATCGGGCGTCTTCGACATTCTGCTGCGCAATAAAATCCCACGGTGCTGCTAGCTCTTTCGTCATTGACGAAGAAGTGAAGAGAAAACAAAAAAATGTCCGCAAATGTAGGGGATTACAACACCAAAGAAACCCCCGACAAAGATGCCCATTGGTCGATGTTTGCATTGAATATAGTGTTCATCATCATGCTCGGGTGAGTTCCATTACTCATCTCATCACAGAATGAAGGCGCACATCAAAAGTTGATAATTATGTCTCAGGAGGGATTTTGAGCCTCTTGAAGACTATTTGGTGAGTATGATACACAGCTACAGCCGCCAAGTCATTGAGTACTTAACGTCAGAGAACTGACCTACATTGAGAGCTCTGGAACTTCCAGGGTTCGTAATCGAAGATGCGTCACAACATTCGCTCAATATTTGTGGAAGATGCTCGGCTCAAGCCGTCGTTGTAAAATGCAATGCTTGGCACAGTGGGCTTTCTTTATTTCTGGGCCCTCCCTCAAACCTTAAACTTCCTGAGAGAACCGAGAACCGAGAACCGTGCGCTGCGCCAGCTCATGAAGATCTGGCTATGAATGTCCTCACTCATTGTTGAGGTCTGGACCAAGTCTGGCCCGGTCATACCATTAAGTGATCATGCTCCTTACAATATTTGACTTAGTTTGCAGATACATAGTTTTGTTGGTTTGCTACCTGCTGAAGATCAGGGTTGAAGCAATTTGTTCTGCTCTAACCTCAATGGTGCAGCTGGCATCTCGCTCTCTCATCGTTACTAGATACGCAGCATTTCAACTTTGAACACACGCAGTCTCGTAATCCCAAGGAGGAACCAAATTGCTTAAAAGCGAAGATCTCACCGAAGCTACACCTATCCCACGGTGTTAAAGGTTAGCGTAGTACTTGCGGGGCTTCGTAATATGGAAAGCCCCGCAAGAACCGCACTTACCTTCAACACCGTGGGATAGGTGTACGACCTCGCGCAAAAAAAGGCCCACGCTAGTGTTGATCATGGTGGATAAGTGTCTGAACTTGCTACGGCGGACTCAGCTGACAATCAAGGGCATCCCTGCGAACCTTAATTACCATCGACTTCGCCTCCTGTCGCAGAGGTGGACTCCTCTCCCTGCTCCCACGTAATGTCTGTGACCACACTACCTTCAATTATTCCATCGCCTCTTGATATCGTTTTGGTCATGATTGGGGACCATTCATCACCTCTCTACACGTGGCGCAGCGAACCAGCGTGGGTACGTCACCTGGCCCCGAGGAACAGCGATACCCAACAAGGTTTGCAACCGTTAGGACTGGAAGCCTGTGACTATCTAGGAAGCATCTGTGAATTATGTGACATCCAGTTGACTTAACATTGGAAATGACGACATTCGGGCGCGAGGAAATGAAGGATCAAGAAGGTTGGATGTAGGTTAACAATCGGGGAATTATTCGTCCTACGGCCATGTCAGTTCAATACGACAGGTAGCTCGCCAAGCTAGATCCTAGTTACCCTGCCAGGCACCTTTGGGCCCCGCAAGGGTCCTCTGCCGGATGAACCGAGCCCGCAGGAATCCTTCACACTGCTTATTTCATCCTGTCAACCCCAGGTCGATCCAGTGTGCTATTTCTGGAGTCACCACAGAACGTTAGTGGATATTCTGCCCAGTGTTCATAAGAATTGCACCCAGCTCTTAGGACAAAGAGATGAAGAGGTTCTTGTCACGCCCACCGTATGTAGAGGCACTGAGGCGGTGTTTAGCGTAATGCCAAGAAATTGTCCCTCGATTCTCGTACCATATGCTGAAATCTGAAGATGTTGACGCTCAGAAAGGCAAATCTGGCTGCAGAGAACCGGAAGTCCCAGCCGAATGTTAGGTTAGCATAGGCTTAGCTTGTAGGCGATAGAGTAAGTGGCCAAGAAGGTTTAGTAAACATATACTTTACACTCCTCGAGAATGATTCGAAGATTCCGGGTTCACGCGAAAGATGTCCCGCAAAGCCTAACTCGGGCATACTGTTGTTTTTGACATCAGCAGATGTTCAAGGCCAAGACATCGCGAAAGTTCATGTTCACATGGAACTCCACAGCGGCCATGGACCGTGGTTCGCGAACTCCGAGCTATTCACTGACTTGCCTTCGACATTGCACGTATGTCAGATCTCAACAAACGACAACAGCATTGACAGTATTGCGATCTCGGATGGTCGGAGATGCTGTCATTTCCTAGCTTTCATCCACATCTATAAGGGCGATAACCGTTCTCCTCTAAATCAGCTACATTATATCAACGAAATCATCCCAACTCTTCTCACTCTTTCTACGGTGGCCTCAGGGTACCATCCACTCTTTACTACCTAAAATTCTTTCAAGGTCATTCAGCATGTTTGGAAACCAACCACTCATTCATCTCTTCTTTCTCGTGACTAATATTTGGTCTCTTATCTGCGCCGGAGCTCCTACATCACTCGTCTATGTGTATCGCGGGGATTACAGATCACCGGCCGAGATCCAGGAGGCGGGTGGCTTTCTCCCCAAGGGCCAAAGCGCCTTTGGTGCCATCGCTCCAGATATCAGTCTCTTCAACCACGCAAAAGCTGCTTTAGACGATAGCTCTCGTGATGATTACGGCTACGTCTTTACCTCATCCTCTCTCGTTATTGCGGAACGCATCATCAACATGAGACCTGAAGGTTACATTTACAAGATCCACGTTACCGCCAACATGATTGACATCATCGGCACCTTGGGCAAGCATAACCCCTTGAACGACGAGCGTGAATACGCTGCTCTGGGCGGTATCAAGTTCGAGCAGATCGTGTCTTGGAAGGCCTACGAAAACGGCAAGTCTGGTGAGGAGGAGCTCAATAAGGAGTTCAACGAGCAGGTCTACAGTGCCGCCATCGCTGGAGGTGTGCAATTTCAGCTTGCAGGCTTCCTCGAGAATACCAGATCCTGTGAAGAACAGCCTGGGAAGAATGGTCTCCTTTCCAAGCGTCGTTTCGGCTTCGGTCTCGGATCTCTCAAGTCTGGCTTTGGAGCCCTAAGGAGCATCAAGGGAGTCAAGTCCATTTCCAACGTATGACCTCACTTTGACTCTCACTAGGTGAGTGTATGCTGACATCTTTTGATAGGTCTTCAAGTCCAACCCGTTCAAGAAGGGTCCAAAGACATCTCCCTTAGGCTCAGCCCCTCAGGCTCCGGTCAAGTCAGGTCCGGGAAGAAAGATGCCTGATCTCGATCCGACGCCTGCCCCTCCTGTTAACCAGGGCCTTCCTGTCGACAAGAGCCCCATGGACAACACTCCGGCTACGAAAACTCCTGTTGTAGACAAGACTCCTGACGATGCTCTTGGAGAGAAGACCCCCGTTGACAAGACACCTGTCGATAAGACTCCGTCTCAGGCGGCTCCCAGCGTCAAGCCCCATATTGATGGCACTCCTGGACAGCAGCCTGGTGGCATGCGACAGGGTCCTGATGACCAAGTTCCTGCCGAAGGAACTAACGGACGACTAGGAGGTGTCGGAGGATCAGGAATGCCTATCGCCATCAACCCTATCCCTGCAGCTGGATTCCCCATGTCACCCTTCCCAATGACTCCATTCCCCTCCACCCCTGGTACGGACACCACGATGGACAGTCCGGTTGACAGAACGCCTGTTGATGGAACCAACGCTGATGGCACCTCTACTGATGGTACACTTACTGACGGAACTTCTGCTGACGGCACCCCCACTGATGGCACGACGGTCGATGGCACAACGCCAGCTGATGGCACGCCTGTCCCTACTACCTCTACTACACCTCTTGGCGGAACTCCAGTTGAGGACACACCGGTGCAGGAGACACCTGCTCATGACGTTCCCACCCAAAAGGCTCCAGTTACCGACACACCTGTCAAAGACACTCCCACTAAGGATACTCCCACCAACGACGTCCCAGTCAAGGACACGCCAGTGAGGGAGACGCCCGCAAAAGCAATACTTGGAAAGGACACGCCTGTCCTAGAGACTCCTGTGAGCCAGCTCCAAGCTCGTCAGGCTCAAACTTGCGCCAGCCCCAAGTCCGCCTACGAGATTGCGAAGGCCTACTTAGCGAGTGTGAACACATGAATGAGCACAATCGCAAAGTCGTAGGCTTCTTGGATGATTTAGGGATAGACTGATGGTGTTAACGATAACTCTGCGGGCGCAAAGACTTGGAACGTGTAGTCTTGTTGCGATGGACCGTTTTTCATTTGTACAAAATTTGTCGTGGAATGCAAATACATAGACTATAGATCGGAATATACAAAGTATGTTTACACTGCTACTAGGCTAGTACGTCTTCGCGCTTGTTCATGTGGTGCAATGAGGCACCTGTTCGCTATTCGTCTGTTAGACTGTTGTCCTTCAGACAACGACTTTCGTGCATGAAACCTCATCTGTGTCTTTTGTGGTTGTCCATCTCAATCCGAACCGAAACCTCCTGTGTCTTCATGATGATGTGCTTCTGGCTATTGTCGTCATCGTCTAGTTGTACCCAGTTGTCTCGATTGCCAGTCTGGCAATTGGTCACTGTCATCGCTCTTCCGCTAAGGTTGTTCAACTTGACGCCATTGCTCCCTTGGTATCCAGAATCTCCATGCAGGGGGTTCGACCCGGTGTTGTTGTATGAGCCCTTTGAAGACTTGTCGAGCCAGAACTTCAGGAGTCGTCGGAGGGATGGCAACGAGCCTGCGATGATGCCGATGCCGCATTCAAAGATTGACCAGAGGACGATATTGGCAATGTTGTCTGTTAGGAGATTGTTAGTTAGTACTACCTTAGGTATTGAACCATCTGTGTTGTTGTGCAAGAGATTTACTGGGTACTCACGCAAGTAATCGTCAACAACGTTGTAGTACTGGAGGTACGGTAGTCGGATGATGGTGGCGGCGCTCGCACTGCACTTTCTGTAGCAAATAATAGAATTTCTTCAAACATTCAAAACTTACATGGCACCCAAAGCGAGCACGGCGCATACCGAAGCCTTGACTCTCGATTTCATCTGGAGCCCACACACAACCACAGTCGGGACGGTAGCGCAGGTCCAGTCAGTGATAATCGCCATCACCGTAATAAGATAGCTGATGCTGGTGATGATATTGGTCGGTGCGCAGGACCCGTCAAGAGACTTGTCCCAAGTGTAGCTGACCGGCCGGCAGACTGCTACCACTGCGATGAAACCAATCGTGGTGCTGAGGATTGACGCGGTACCTCTTCCTGTTTGTGATCCGGAAAACAGTAAAGCAGATGCTGGCTTTGATGAACGGCAAACTCCAGGCGTAGGTGATTTGGAAGAAGACTAGCCACTGCGAGACGGTTAACTTCGGTTTGCAGAGAGTGGTGGATTGAGGGATGTTCACCTTGATGCCTGCCACAGAGTTCCATTCCTCTAGACGCGCATCTTTCGTCCCCATGCCCGCATAAACAGCGATGGAAGTAAAGGTGCAGCATGCCAGGAAAATCCCCTTCAGATGTCAGATTGCCTCCGCAGTTTGGTGTCAAGACAGTTCAACTCACCAACCCGACTATCATGAGATAGTCGTCAAGTCCAAGAGCGCCCGTGTTCTGACGAGCCCAGACACGAAGGATGACAACGATCAGGGAAATGGCGCCGAGGCAAATGGTCACACCCAGCGTGGCCACACCAATTGGGTCCGGCTGGGTGATCCAGTTCACCTCCATCTCGTCGAACGGTTTTGCAGCCATTTTGATCGAGGACCTGATGCCCGGGATTGAGAAACGGATGAACAGAAAAAAAGGAGAGACCAGCTATCATGGACGGCGCTCAACATCATCCACGAAGAATGACTGGAAATGGACTCAAAAACGAAGAAGGGGCAAACCGCGAAGTAGCATCATCGCGAGCTTCGCGTTTGAGGTGGGTAGATGCGATAGACAACCCATCTCAGAGTCCCATCGCCAACGGCTTCCCGTTTGAACCCGCCACCAAGTACAACCCGAGGGCCGCCATTCTGAATATCCCAGGAGTCATTTCGCTATTTCATGCTTTATGGCACCGAATCCTTGCAGTCCAGGGAACGCGCAACATTACCAGCCACAACGGGTAGAGATCCACAGTCGTCTTCACCGACGTTTCTCAGAGATGCCAAGAGTTAGTGTTGAAAGATCTTGATCCATGTTCCAACAGAAGTCTCAAGGAGAAGAGTCCCGCTTTGATGGTTACTATGTGAGGTTACCATGGCTTTCAACAGTCGTTCAAATCCTGAGGTCCTGGGGAATTGTGAGTCCATCCATGATCTTGCCTCTTTGGAACACGGACGGGGGCGACAACAAGGAGAACAGGGTGCTGTTGGGACAGTTCCTTGGAGTTGAGATGCCACGATCTGCGAGCCACTTTCGTCCTGTGGTACTCGCGGTGGGGATACAAGAGGTCGTTGGCGGCGAATGGGTCAGACTGAAGGGATATCATGCCTACAGTATTGTTCTCCCCGGGACAGTTCAACGAGATCATACACCGTTGGAACACCCTAGCATCTGATACATCCCTGTCGGATCCTGATGGATGAGCGGAGCTTCCAAGGCGGAAGGCCTCCCGGGTGAGAACTCTGTTCAGGCAAATCTGTCTAGGCAAGTCTCGTTTGCGGCTCTGTTGGAAGTCAACTTTTACTTCCCTGCACTTGCCCCCACGTCCCAAGGGTGCGATTGGTCCTGGGTTGCCATCGAGGCCGTGCAAAATCGACGTGGAAGCGAGGACATGGAGTGGAGAGGTTCCAACCGAGCAAACATGTATCCCTGTTCCAACAGGAACGTCTCATTTGCATCCATGATGGGCCCTTGCATTGGAAGAGGCAACGGTTCTGCACCGCAGGAACAACACATCGAGGTAGTCATGTGGTACAACATGAGATGAAGAAATTCCTCAGCGGTAGTTGAACCGCCCGTTTGGTAAACATCGTCTTGTGTAACCTCACTGGTCAAAAAGTCCTTTCGCTGTCTCTGATGTGTTTGATGAAGTTAATCTACTTCGTTTACGAGTTGCAGTACCACTTCCTTGTCAAAGTTCTAGTCTATTGTGCCAACGAGTGCAGTTTGCCCATGTCGCTCTTCTTGTGGGTTGTGCCAAAAAATGCCTCCTGTTGCAGCCACATCTAAGAAAAGAACGTAGCATCGTGAACAACCAGCATGCGCGTCCCGTATCTGTGCCTCCTCGGTTGCGATGGAGCGGGCCCGCCCGTACAGCGCCGATCTGCCATCGACACAGTTGCTCTGACCCTTTTCAGAAAGAATACCGATGCAAGAAGGACCAACAACCCTCTCACGTCCCAGAAGGGTAAACGCCTGGCCGATCAGCCCGGGTGCCTTTTCCGCGTGTCCAGTGTGACGAGTAATAATATGAAACTCAGCTATTGGGCGACAAGATTGCCCTGCAGATGAGATGACTTTTTGACTAGATGTTGGTTCAGACGCAGGCGGGGTGCGGAGGTCGAAGCCGACCCCGAATCCTGTTGGAACCCTTTTTGACGGGTTATCCACATTTATCCCGCCAGGGATCGCGCGGACATCTTCCCCGAGGGCTGGAGTGGCCGGGGACCTGGTTGAGGGCTCCATTTCTTCAGCGAGGGGTGGTTGAACGGGCGGCTGCCGGGAGAGGGATGGGACACGTCTGGAGGGAAGGGGACGAAGGATTTCGTATGCCGGGCTCTTCATTACGTCTAGATGTCTTAGAATGCAGATGCTGGACTGACAAGTTGAAGAAGAGGCATCAATTGGGGAAAGATCGGCTCAAGTCCAGCGGTGCTCTAACGGCCACGAATTATTCACAATTGGATCAACTCCGCTACTTTACTGCCAAGCTCTAATGTACACATGCAATCGCCCATTCACCGCGCAATCAGTTCTCGTGAGGCGCACGCACCGTGCCGACACAATCATCCTTGCGCGTGACAAAGATGCCCTCACGAACCTCGCCCTCCAATCCACCGAGGGCACCCGTCGTGTAGAAGCCGAGCATGCGCTTGATCCTGTCGGACAGCTTGGCCTCGACATCCTTGCGCAGGGACAGGAAGTTGTTCTCCTGCTGGCGGATGAAGGAGCGCATGAAGAACATGAGAATGACGGGGCGTTCGCCGGCCTCCTCGCGGTTGGGGCCGGTGGCATGCCACAGACGGCTGTCGAAGACGAGCGCAGTTCCCGCCGGGCCTTCTGCGGCGATAGTCCCGTCGACGGTGAAGAGGTCGTCGGGCGCAATCTGGCCGAGGTGAGAGGCAGGGAAGACGCGAGTGCCGCCGTTCTTCTCCGTGATATCCTCAAAGTACCACATGATGTTGAGGCCGAAGGCCATGTCGCGGACGGGCGGCTGGATGGCGACCTGGTCGGTGTGCAGCTGCATCGGCACGTTCCCTGGACGCGCAATGTTGGCGCTGTAGCTGTGGATGAGCGCGTGCTCGCCCAGGAACCAGGGGACGATCTCGTCAATCAGGGGGTGGTTGAGCAAGTCCAGAAACTCCTCGCCCTTGTTGACGAGGGTCCAGATACGCTGGTTGGGCGCGTTCGGCCCGCCATCGGCAGCAGACACGCCTGCCTTGCGCTCGCCGGCCGCCTGCTCCTGCGTGGCCTTCTTCAGGATGGCGACCTGCTCAGGCGTGAGCGCGTTCTTGACGAGGCCGTAGCCGAACTCCTTGACGTCGCGCTTGACTTGCTCGATGTCCTCGGTGGGCTCGGGCAGGCGGGCGAAGGCGCCGGGGACGACCTTCTTGGGCGGGACAGGCGGGTTGGGGGTGAGGAGGTCGGCGAACTTGATGGCGACGGGGACGTTGCCCTTGGGCATGGCGGCCTCGTGGAAGAAGGCGTCCTTGAAGAGGCCATAGCGCGGCTCGAGCTTGCCCTCGTAGAACTGGGCGATGTACTCGGGCTTGATGGTGATCTTGGTGTCGGGCTCGTCGGGGCAGGCGTCGAGGAGCTTGGCCTCGGGGCCGCGGGCGTCGAGGAAGACGGGGGCGCGGTCGCCGAAGGTGAGGGAGAGGAGGGCGTTGAGCTGGGAGAGGAGGGGCAGCTTCTCGGTGATGACCTCGTGCGCGCGGGCGACGTCGGCCTCGACCTTTTGGGCGAGGTTGCTGTAGGACTGTTTGCTGAAGTCCAGCCCGGGGGTGAAGGTCTTTCCTGGTGCGACGCCGGCCATATTTGATGTTGTTGTATAAGCCAAGGATGAACAGAATGGGGGGTATCAATATGAATCAGAGAGATGAGTGAGAGACGAGCGCTGGCGATGAGCAAACGAAAGAGCAAAAGGTCGGCGTCAGCGGTCTGGTTATGTATGTCGACAAAAGAGCAATTCAAGCTGGTTGCCATTGGATAAGGTCGAGCCCGCGCCATTGCCGCTCACAACTCTCATTTACCAGGCTCTCGAGGTTGAGCTGCGAGGAGACCCTGCAGTGAGACGGCCCCGGTAGCAGCTCCAACGGCCGGTGGGGTCGCACGAGTGAGGGGTGTTGCAGCATCCTGCACATCCTCAGTTGGAGCTTTCGTCGTCGCTGGCTCAACGGTGTTTGCGCGCTGCTCCTCTGCGGTCCGGGGTGAGGTTGAGGTTTCATTACTCGCGGAGTCGACCCCGGCCTCCGGAGACGTGCTGCTGGGCCGCAGCTCCTCACGTTGGTCCTTCTCGCGTCTGGAAGGGTTCTCCGCGCCGGCGGTGGGTCTCTGGGCCTGCTGCTCGGCTACCGTTGCATTCGACGGGCGGGCGTCTGGGAGCGCTGTTCGAGGCGACAGGATGCTCATGGTTGGCGACTTTGGTGGCTCCGTCGAGGGGCCGCCGGGTTGTTGTGTTGAAGGTTGCTGGGTGGTAGTAAACGGACCAGGCTGGATCGACGACGTGCCGCGTCCGTTTGCTGGCTCATCAGTCTGATGAGTCTGACTCTGAGTTGATGACTCGGCTTGAGGCGACATCTCGCCCTCTGATTGAGATTGAGGCGGTGGTGGTGGTGCATCTGGTTGGTTTCGGTCAACGAGCTGGCCCGACGCATCGCGCTTGCGACGCGTCCTCCGACCCTTGAGAGACGGGTCGAAGATGGTATCCTTGTTCTTGTACCAATTGTGGATTGAGCCGTAAGGAATCTTGAACCACTCAGACGCCTCGTCCAGCGTCGGCCGCCGATACTCGCCTTCAAGACGCTCTTCGCCGCCGCGCAGGCGGATGGGCTGGCCAGGGCGGTTCTTGACGCGGTGATGCTCCAAGAACATCAAGACCTCCCGCTTCTTCTCGATGGTGTATCTACGCTCATGTCGCAGGACCGGTTTGGGAGCAACATAGGGCTTAGGCTTGGGTTTTGGGCCTCGCTTCTTCTTCACTGGTGGCCCCTCCTCGCCGGCTGGCTGAATGGGCGCCAGGGGAACATGGACGACGGGCGGCTGTTGTGAGTTCATGATGTCGGGTGAGTGAGGACTCGCAAGGATAACTCTCTGCAGAATTGTTGTGGTGAAAATGAGAAGGGATGGCCCTGGGTTTCACCGCCTGCTCAAACGGGCCATTTTGCCTGGTTTCGCAATTTGGCGAATTTTTCCGGTGTGCGACCCAGCGAAATTATCTTCCGTCTTCCGTCAGTCTTTGCCGGAAATTCACTGTGGGGTTTAAGCAAGGGTCAGATTCAAGCGCACAAACAGCAGGAGCTATGCAGCTTTGGACAATGCACTCAAGAAGATTCATGAAGCAAAGATGGGCTCTTCGTTGTCGATGAGAAGTAAGTGAGTGA